CCCCCCTCCTGCACCACCAGGGGGGTGGAGTGCAAGGGGAAATCATTTCAAAGGTACAGCTTGAGGTTAAGGGCTGAGGATCCTTGCAGTATAAATCAGTAAGATTTGATACCCTAACTAAAATGATAAAAAATAAAGCACTTCAAACAGATTTGCCATCAGTGGTAAGCCCAAATTTATTGAAATGTTAGAAATGTAGAAACAGTTGTGTGAATCAAATGAACGATGGTCCTAAAAAAAATGGTTCTCAAATGGTTAAAAAAATTGCAAGCAACCTCTGTGGTTGGGCAAGTATCACTGGACGTAAGATAATCTCCCTATTTCATGGAGGTGTAAACAATTTTAAATTCACCGAGCTTTTGGTATAATTGCTTGGAAAAGTGAGTTGTAAGTCAACTACATCTTCTGAGAATATATGGATTTTTTGTACGTGTATGTTCCACTTATCGAAAACATATCATGTGATAAGAACATGAAATTTGTATGAAATGGAAACTAAAAGCTACACTTTCAACTTAAGAAACACTACTATACTATTTATGAATGCTAAATTACCAAGGAAAGAGCTTGTTGCTACAAGCAAGGAGGACTTCACTGCAAATGGCGGGTCAATACGATGAAAACAATTACATGAAATGAAACAGTGATCGAAGTGTTGTAATACGGTATTTGTTTGTTTGCTTGATTGTTTGTTTTTAAAACGCTTTAAAAATTTGATTGAGATCCAAGAAAAACAACCCGATGATTGACACAAGTATATGGATAAATATGATAGGTTTAAATGGTAAAATCTAAACTTCTTGAAACAATACTTGATTCAAACGTGTGAATACATGCGAAAATATTTTTGTTTTTTAATCCTGATCACTTCTTAACCACTCATTGCTAAAAATTCGAAAAAGCTTTGGTAAAAATCAAATTTTAATTCATACGATCGCAAATGAACAACAGAAAAATTAGGTAAGGTGCAAAAGCAAGGTTGAGAGTTCCATTAATGGTAACATGACTAAAAAGCCTAATTTGCAATGTAGATAAACTAGTCAATTCTGTGTCATAATTACTTTGAAACACGAGAAAAAACGGTGAAATAAGTCTTGCAAAAGAACAACCTTTTCAGTTAGTTGTTAAAGATGTCAGGCTGCTACATTCAGCTGTTTTTTGGTCTGCGAAAACGCGACCCAGGGTGTTTGAAACAACGTAATTGACAACACTAACTAAAATCTAAAAAACTACTGTTTTCAACACAAGTAAAATGCCTGCTCTATCTGGACACAGTCTCTCCAAGCAAGGAAGCAAGTACTCAGATTATTACTGTTCTCTAGTAGAACTTTCTTGTGAAGTACTTACGTCCGGTGGGGTAAGATGCACGATTGTAGCCCGACCCTCCCGAGACAGATGTACGCCCTGTGGTGGTACGGTAAGTGGTCCCACTGGTTCTGTACGAGGATGGTTGACTGGAGTACGAAGAACGGTACACAGTGGATCTGGCAGACCTGGCACTTCCAGCCTCAGCAGAAGCTCCCTCGGCGACATTTGTGATCAGAATCGTCTTTGAGGAGGTGGAGACGTCATCACTACCGTTGAAGTTTCCTTCAGCCCTAGCCAGGTCACTGTCAAGCGGAGCTGATGAGACGACAGCACTCTTGCGAATAACTTCGCTGCGTTCTCCCTCCACCGCAGATTTCATTGGTGTAGAAGTGGCACTGAATTCTAGACCATTAGAATCAGTGGACGTCTTTTTCACCGTGGAAGTAGACGTTGAACTGCTGAAAGTCGGGGAGTCAGCCGTTGCAGTGGTTCTATAACGAAGCACCTCGTAGGTCGTCACTGGCTTGTACTCTGACTTCAGAAGCTCCTTCAGTCGGAGCTCTGCTTTTTCATAGGCTTCATCGGCGACAAATACCTCTTTTTTCAAGTTTTCGATCTTCTTCTGCAAGCTTGCAATCTTCAGGCGCATATCACTGATGGCAGTATTCTTCTCTTCTACGGTCTTCTCAAAATACTCATTAGAAGACTTCAATTCCCTGTTGTCCTTCTCAAGCTTGTAAATGTATTCTTGCTTGTCGGCCATTCCACTGTTGATCTTGATCACCATCTCCTCTTCCAGTTTGCTCTTTGCCAGCACTAATATGTCATACTCTTCTTGAAGCTTAGCATATTTTGCTTTCAAGTTAAATAGCTCCTGTTCAACCTTTGGATTATGAGCTGGGGTATCCTTTGCGATCAGCAACTCACGTCGGAGCGACTCAACTTCAGAGCGCATGGAGATTGCCTCAGAACGCAATAGCCCCAAAGCAGCCTCTTTCTCTTTAATCTCGTCTCGGTACACTCGTACTTGATTGTCGATATGGATTGCCACCTCCCGCTCGTTCTTTGACCTGAGTTCAAAAATCTGCTCGCGGAGACTGTCCCTCTCCTGGCAAGCAGCGTCGAATGAGTGTTGCAGGGACACAAATTCGGCGCTACTACGAAGGACGGAGGGGCTAATTACCAACGATTCCTTCCTAACGCGTTCCACCTCCATCTCGCTTCGCTGCTTTGTGGTTGCCAGCTCTCTCTTTAATCCTTCAATTTCTGCCCTCAGTGTCATCACCTCAGAGCGGAAGTTGTTCATGGCTATCTCCTTCTCTCTAGTCTCTTCACGGTAGATCTTCACTTGACTTTCAATGTCTTGCTCTCCCTTCATCTTTATATCTATCACCTGTCCTCTAAGGCTATCACGCTCTTTACAAACTTCTTCGTGCGTTCGCTGCAAAGATATGTACTCTGCGCTACCGCGGATGTCAGGGAACCTCAATGTATTAACTTCCTTCTTCAAACGATCTATTTCGATCATATAGGCCTCTTGATTTCCAAGGTCTCTCTTCAAGCTCTCAATTTCGCTCTTGAATGAGTAGCTCTCTACACGTACTTTCTCCATTGCAATTTCTTTCTCTCTGATCTCCTCACGGTAGATCTTTACTCGGTTGTCAAGTTCCTGTTCTCCCTTCATCTTTATATCTATCACTTGTCCTCTAAGCCCATCGCGCTCTTTGCAAACTTCTTCGTACGTCTTCTGCAAGGAGATGTACTCCGCACTTCCACGGATATCTGGGAATCGTAAGGTATTGACCTCTTTCTTGAGGCGGTCAATCTCAACCAAATGAGCCTCTTGGTTTCCGAGATCTCTTCTTAGTCCTTCAATTTCGGCCTTGAATGTCATGTTCTCCATGCGGATCTTTTCAAATGCTACTTCTCTTTCTCTGATTTCCTCTCGGTAGATCTTCACTTTTTCTTCAAATTCCTGCTCAGCTTTCATTCTTATGTCTATAACTTGACCCCTCAATCCATCGCGCTCACCGCAAACTTCTTCGTACGACTTCTGTAGGGAAATATACTCTGCACTGCCACGGATATCTGGAAATCGTAGGGTATTGACCTCTTTCTTGAGGCGATCAATCTCAATTAAATAGGTCTCTTGGTTTCCGAGATCTCTTTTCAGTCCTTCAATTTCGGCCTTGAAGGTCACGTTCTCCATGCGGACTTTTTCATATGCTACTTCTTTTTCTCTGATTTCCTCGCGGTAGATCTTCACTTTTCCTTCAAAGTCCTGTTCTCCTTTCATCCTTAGGTCTATAATTTGACCCCTCAGTCCATCGCGCTCCTGACAAACCTCTTCGTACGACTTCTGTAGGGAGATATACTCTGCACTGCCACGGATGTCTGGGAATCGCAAGAGATTGACTTCTCTCTTCAGGCGTTCGATCTCAGCCAAGTACGCTTCTTGATTACCGAGATCTCTCTTTAGTCCATCAATTTCGGCCTTGAATGAATAGCTTTCGACACGAATTTTCTCCATCGCAATTTCTTTCTCTCTGATCTCGTCGAGGTATATCTTCACTTGGTTGTCAAGTTCCTGCTCTCCTTTTAACCTTATATCAATAACCTGGCCTCTTAGTCCATCACGCTCTTTGCAGACCTCCTCATATGTTTTCTGCAATGAAATGTACTCTGCACTTCCCCGGATGTCTGGAAAACGTAGTGTATTCACCTCTTTCTTTAGGCGGTCAATTTCGATTAGGTAAGCCTCTTGGCTGCCTAGGTCTCTCTTCAATCCCTCAACTTCGGTTCTGAATGCCATGTTCTCCATACGTAACCTTTCTATCACTACCTCTTTCTCTCTGATCTCTTCGCGGTAAACCTTCACTTGGCTTTCAAGTTCCTGTTCTCCCGTTATCCTGATGTCTATCACCTGGCCTCTTATTCCATCTCTTTCCTTGCACACCTCTTCATATGACCTCTGTAACGAGATGTACTCTGCACTACCACGGATGTCTGGGAATCGCAATGTGTTCACTTCCTTCTTCAAGCTTTCGATTTCAACCAAATAGGCCTCTTGATTGCCAAGGCTTCTCTTCAAACCCTCAATCTCTGCCTTGAATGTCATGCACTCAGATCGAAGTCTGTCTATAACAACCTCTTTCTCTTTGATTTCTTCACGATAGATTTTGACTTGACCTTCAAGTTCTTGTTCTCCCTTAACTCTGATGTCAACCACCTGGCCTCGTAGTCCATCTCTTTCCTTACAGATCCCTTCGTATGATCGCTGTAGGGAGAGGTACTCTGCGCTGCCACGAATGTCTGGAAACCTCAACGTGTTCACCTCTTTCTTCAAACTTTCAATTTCGGCAAAGTAAGCTTCTTGGTTCCCAAGGCTTCTCTTCAAACCCTCAATCTCTGCCTTGAATGTCATGCACTCAGATCGAAGTCTGTCTATAACAATCTCTTTCTCTCTGATTTCTTCGCGATATATTTTAACTTGACCTTCAAGTTCTTGTTCTCCCTTAACTCTGATGTCAACCACCTGGCCCCGAAGTCCATCTCTTTCCTTACAGATCTCTTCGTATGATCTCTGTAGGGAGATGTACTCTGCGCTGCCACGAATGTCTGGAAACCTCAGCGTGTTCACTTCTTTCTTCAAGCGATCAATTTCCACCAAATAGGCCTCTTGGTTGCCCAGCTGCCTCTTCAAGCCATCAAGTTCGGTTTGGTCCTTGAGGCTTTCTGACTGAAGGCGACTGATAATTGTCTCTTTCTCTCGTATTTCTGTTCTGTACGCCTCGGTGCGGCTTTCCACTTGGACGATAACATCTCTTTCACTCTTCGACTTGATCTCGGAAATCTGTCCTCGCAGAAGATCTCTCTCTTTCCACATTTCTTCATATTGCTGCCTTAAGGAATCATACTCTGTCTTACTATACAGAGTAGTGCGTTCCCTCTTCAGTCCATCAACTTCCTTTATGAGGAGTTTGTTCTGTGAGGAGAATCTCTCTATAGCCATCTCCTTTTCTTTGATTTCCTGTCGGAAACCATCAGTTTGGATTTGGATTTGAAGTGCCTTATCTTGCTCGTTCCTAGACTTGAAATCGTCAAACTGCCTCTGGCTGTAATCTCGCTCCCTGCAGACATCTTCGTACGAGCGTTTTATGGACTCGAATTCTATACTTCGTTGGCTCATCACACTGATCTCGTTCTTCAAACGATCAATCTCTGTCAAGTATCCTTCTATCATGAACTGCTTACTATCTGCCTCCCTCTTGTACATCTCAAGCTCTGATTGGGAATTCATAGTTTCAGAACGGAAGTTGCTGATTATGACCTCTTTCTCTCTGATCTCATCTCGGTAAATCCTCGTCTGATTATCCACTTTGACAGACATCTCTCGCTCGCTGTTTGATTTGAATTCTATAAACTCCAGTCGTAGAGCATCTCTTTCTTTCAGTATGTCATCATACATCCGCCTCACCGACTCGTATTCGGAGCTTGACACTGTGGTTGACTTAATTGTGATGATATCGCTTTTATATCGTTCAATTTCTGCCAGGTAACCATCGATCATGTGCTGTTTGCTCTCCACATCTCGCTTAAACACATCCATATTCATCTGGATTGACATCATTTCAGTTCGAAGCTTAGCATATTCCATTTCCTTCTCTCTGATCTCTTTCTGGAATATCACAGTCTTGTTTTCCACCTGGATCAAGACATCGCGTTCAGCTTTGGACTTGAAAACTATCAGCTCATCGCGAAGGGCATCTCTTTCTTTCCACATCGCATCGAATTGCAACTTTAAGGACTCGAACTCACTTCTCTTGTAAAAGGTTGACATTTCTCTCTTCAGTCCCTCCAACTCAGCCCTCAGGGTTGTATTCTCAGAGCGCATCCTATCGATGGCAATCTCTTTCTCCCTGACATCCTGCTTGTAAGCTTCCATATAGCTTTCTAAATGGGCTGTCATCTCGGTTTCACTTTGAGATTTGTACTCCATCAGCTGATCTCGTACAAAGTCTCTCTCCTTGCAAACTTCGTCATAGGTTCTCTTAAGGGTTTCAAAGTCGGTACTACTGGTCTTCAAGGTCACGATATCACTGCGGAGGCGTTCGATTTCACTCAGGTATCCATCAGATACAGAGGACTTTCCACTAACCTCTCTCTTGAGCGTTTCCAACTCGCTCTTGGTCACCAGATTCTCTGAGCGCAGCCTGTCAACCAAGGCCTCCCTCTCCTTCACATCCTGCTGGTAGCCTTCCACCCGGCTCTCAAAGTGAATTGATACGTCTCTTTCGGTTGTTGATCTGGCCTCCATCAGCTGCTCGCGGAGACTATCTCTTTCTCTCGCTATTTCGTCATGTTTCATTTTCAAAGCTTCAAACTCCGTCCTGCTGAAACAAGCGCTCATGTCCCGCTTAAGCCCATCGATTTCAGTTTGGAGGGTTATTGTGTCAGCTCTCAGACGATCAATCACAGAATCCCTATCTCTGATCTCCTGTCGATAGAATTCTTCATTGCTATCCAGCTGAAGGGGACTGGACTGCACCCTCGTGGTGTATGAAGAGCTGCTGCTGATGTCAGCCGCCTCCCTTTTCAGAGCCTCGATCTGAGCCTGTAAAGTTATGTTCTCAGACCGGAGCCTGTCCACGGCGATTTCTTTCTCCCTGGTTTCCTGTCTGTAGCTTTCCATGCTAACCTGAGAAATGGATGATGCAGCTCTCTCTCTTAGTACTTCGTTCTCAGACTTTAAGTTTAGATTTTCACTGCGCAGGCGATCAATGGTCTGTTCTTTGTCATGAAGTTGCTGGCAGTGGCCCACAGTCTGACTTTCCAGCTGAATGGAGACTTCATTTTGTTTCTTCGCAACCAAGCGGGCAACTTCACGCTGCAAGGAATCCCTTTCTTTGCAGACGTCATCAAATTTAAGCTTCAAGGACTCGTACTCTCTGCCTGGTGATGAAGTGGTTTTAACTGCATCCTTCATCCTTGTAATCTCAGCAACGTACCCTTCCATGATGGCTTGCTTATCTGCTGTGGTTGCACGAAGTCTCTTGATGTCAGCATCCTTCTCTGAAATTTCTTGACGGTATACGCTAATACTCGCCTTGAGATCTCTGACTTCTTTTTGCAGAAGTTCACTTTGCTTGTTGCTGCTCGCCATCTCCGCTTCTTTCTTCGTGAACAACACGAGCTCCTCCTTCAGAGTAAGGAATTGCTTTTCGGTGTCCTTGATGGACAGCTCAGCGGTATCTAACTTTTCTTTTGTTGTCTTCAGTTTATATTCCAAGCTCGAGATCTTCTTCTCGGCATTTACCACTTCGTGTTGCAGCTCGTTTTCTCTTTCTTGACTTCGCTTGAGAGCAGTCTCCATTGAGGAAAACTGACTGAGAGATGTTCCTTTATCTTCGGCTTTTAATCGTTTAACTTCCTCTTGAAGTTCTGCTATCCTCTGGGTGGCCAAATCAAGGTTGTCAAATCCTGGACTGTTGTTGTTTTGTCTCAAACTTGCAAAAGCTTCATCTATCTTACCTTTCTCTAGATGAACACAGCTGAAGCTTTCATTCAGTTGGTTGATTTGTCCATTGAGAGAAACGAATTCCTGGATGACCTCATTCTTCTCCAGCGTAGACAAATATTCCTTGGAGATAGAAAAACAAATCACAAGTATTAGTTTTTTTAAGCCCTAAAATAAAATTTAACCGTGTCTCAATCTGAGTTTAAACCCACTACGCTATAAAAAACTATCAAATATGTTTGGTCGGTTTCACTTCAACAGTTCTGTTTAGGTGACCTGATCTGAAAAGGAACACGGTGACAAAATAGAATGGTTTTTATGCTTGTATGAACATAAAGTTTGGGAGATTTAAAGCTAAAAAATATGACAGATATTGTTATCACATATCGTTGCCGCGGAAATGATTCCTTCGACACAAAATTCTGTGTTAATCGATTTCTCTATGTTGGATTTTGTAACTATGCATGCCTGATTGAAAAGTTTGTTTGTTTTAACCAGAGGTTTACCAAACTGTCCCGACCACTAGGCTAGCTGTCAAAATTTTTCTGTTCTGACCATTCCTTTAACTTTTCCTGCGCAATTTTTAGACAAGTTTAACCTGAAAGGCAGATAAAGATTTCCAAAAGATGATATTAATTCTGCAAGCATAATGTAATTAAAGAGGAATTCTTCATTTAAATTCGGTAACGATTGAGCTAAACATTATGCATTCCCTGTATTCGATAAGGCGTCATGGTTACGTGAAATTAGCTTTTGCTTGGTAGTAGGATGAGTTGCATCCAGTTTTCTAGATAAAACCTCTGTTACCCAGGACAAAAGAAACGTTCAGCAATAAAAAAATTAAACTAAGTTGTACAAAACAATACGACTGAATTATGCTTTTCTCAGTTACTACTTTCTCTTCCGAAAAACTCCTTTTATCAAATTATCGTAATTTATATTTCTTGTTTAACAGTCATCTGATCTGTTTTTTCTTTACGTTGTTTCTCTCTCACTTCTGATTTGCTGTTCGCTAGTGGTATGATTAGTTTAATTGTATGCACGCAATTTTATTCAACATCAAAAACAAAAGAAGCCGACAGCTTCTTTTGGAAAAAGCTTTAAGAGTTTTGAAAGATTTCATGTAGAGAAAAACGGTATTATGTAAATTCAGATTTCAAGGATGATGCTGCCATAATTAATTTCTTAGAAAAAAAGTGATTACAGCAAGGACTGTAGTTAATTCAGTCGATTCATTCGATATGAATATTATTATGCAAATCTTAATGGTCTGCACCACTATACTTACTGTCCCATTCTTCGAAGATTTTGTATAGCAGTTAGATAAGAGTCAGTGTTTCCTAAATTTACTAGGATACAGATGGTTGTAATTTGTGTTGCAAGTTTGCAGCAAGGTGAGTCCTGCCTCTCTAATACAACAGAAGAACGAAATGAGTTTTTTTAGAGGTAGAGGTTCGTATAAGTTATTCCTTTCTTTTGGATATAACAATTGAACAATAAGTGATTTGTGAGAGACTAATCGCGAAATTGAAAGTCAAATTTGTAAAATCTTAACAGGAGATCCAAACATAAACGCGTGAGCAGCTTCGATTCCTCAACACTTTTCCAGCTAGAGTTTGAATCTTCATATCAAGCTCGATCTGCATTTGGGATTTAATTCACCGTTCCCATAAGAATGTCTATGTAGTTAAACTACATAATTATCTAGGACTGACAAATTCATTAAGTGTCGTCAGTTTAACCAACGCTGCAAAGGTAAAGATTTGTGTCATTCCGGCCCTCTGTAAAACATCACAATGAGCTTTTCTTCACTTAATAAAATTAATTGAACGCGCGTAATTGATCATGAGCTACCCGACACTCTAAGAGAGCAAGCTCCAAACCAACACACGAAATCAGTTATTTGCATTCAGAAACACAACTAAAGTAAAAAACTCATGATAATTGTTTTGAAAAAACGATAAGCGTTGAGAATCGTGTTTCTCGTTATTTCAAGCGAACTCATCTTCGAAATCACCACCATTGCTGTGACCGGACAAAATACGGTTTTTGAAACTTTTGAATATTGCGCAAGAAAGACCAAACTACTTTAAATCCGAGCAGCATATCAAATACTTCCCAATCTGTACAAAAAATCATTGTTCTTTTGCGATATTACACTGATTAAATGATCTAAATAAAATTTGTTCTGTTATCGTTAGAAGCAGCAACGAGAAGTTATCAAATAGAAGGGAAAACTGTTGCGTGAAAGTGGAAGATGAAATTGTAGGCGCTAAGTAAACTCAACCACGCCCACTGAAGAAACTTAATGGCATTTCAAGAACAAGATTATTCATTCTAATTTCCTCGCTAAAAGAAGATCCATCTTCCTTAAAAGTTAGGAATAAATGCCTTTCAAAACAAAAATGGAAATGAAAAGGGTCGCTTTCAAACTGAAAGTCAACATTGCCTAATACTATTTGTACTATCGCCTTCCTGTAAAGCATATTACTCCAATTTTTAAGCTAACATGGATGATGCCCTCCTTTTTTCACATGGAGGAAAATTAAGAATTAGGATAATTTAGGCTTTTGTACAGCAAAGAGAGCTAAAATCTAATTGAAGGTTCGGAACTCCGATGTAGAACATTTCTAACCTCATTCTTCTGGTTTATCACAAGCTCTCTGAAGTCCTCTTGAAACTTTTCAAGAATGATCTCAAAATTGACTCCAGTGACCTCTTGAAGGCAGGTCATCTTGGAAACACGATCAGCGCAAAGCAATTACCGCAGCAAGAAGCAAAGGTTAGGTAAAGCGTCCACGCAGAGTGTTCAAGCAAGCAGTCTCTTAACCGTGAGGGCAGCGAGACTAAAATATCGTTAAAGGGACGCGAGATTTAAAAGATTATTGAATTCTATATGAAATAAATACTCTCCATTACTATTGGCTGATTAATCATTGGAATAACTAACTTCATTCCCACTGGTATATTCCCTAAAGTCTTATTAAATATTAAGCGAGAGCTTTATTAAGTCTCTAGCCACGGTGTCACAGCACGAGAATTAAAACGTTCTAACAGAACTATAGGTGATCTGTCCGCAAGATTTACTACAGTAGCACACGCCCTCGTTTTGCGGTTGAGGTTTCGCGTCTTTTGTCGCGTATAGCACATACAAAGCATAGTCAATACTGTCCGAAAACGCATTGTTCTGGCTAAAGTACGGTCTAGTATGACAAATACAATAGAAAGAATGATTTTGATTTTGACCTGGGAATTTTAATGACCCTGTTTTCATTGCAGATTTTGAGAGGAGATTCAGGACTTAGAAGACCGGGTAGAATTTTGCACTTGTAGATACTTTAAGACAGTGATTCTTTGCGTTTCGTTTTGGCTGTGTTTTGCTTAAGCAACGAGTAATTATCTCGTGTTGATTGTGATAAAGCCCCGGGATAAAGCACAAGACAAATTATACACGCAATTTCAAGCATTTCTTTTCATATTGTAATGTACTTTAAAAATGAAAGTACAATGAAAAGCTAGAATTTGAATTTTCTATACACTTCATCAATGACAAACCACTACTACTAAGAGTTGCTTTCTTGAAAATCGACTAAAAATACATAATTCAGCCATAACGAAGGACATTTCGATTTTAAGAGAAGTGTAAAAACTTCATTTGATTTATGTTGCGTTGAATTCCGTGCGTATAGACATTAATACCATTTTGACGAAAACACGGATAAACGGTTATTGTTTAATAAAGTTTAATTAATGAGGTTTGTAGATAGATCCGTGATTCTCTCTACCATGAGACGCAAAAGAATCTCAGTTTCAAAGCCGTAACTTACGTGACACTGAACCGGGAAAACGGGACATACCAATCTTAAATCGTAAATTTTACTCACAAGTCCCACAATAATTGAAAAATAAATCGTAAAACTAGACAAGAATGAAAGATGTCTTGGAAGACGCACTGTTTTGAGAACAATCTACGTGAACAATATTCATGAATTTCCTTATGCAGACCGGTTATGTACACACCATTTTCTTTATGTGTGCCGATTTCAAAACAAATTTTTCCGAATTATTCATCGGGCCGTGTTCAGCTGGTTATTTCATTAGCATAAGCCTAATGATTACCGCTTGAATTTTGTCATTTACTCGTCAGCTAGATTACATGTTACTCCACCAATATGAAAATGGAAAAGAAAAAAAGTGTCTTATGCGTCAGTTTTGAAACCTGTTTAAACAGCGTAGCTATAAAACCAGTTTGACGGGTTTTGAAATTGCGCAACACAAATGCACGCATGTGCGTGTTGAAACTATTTGTTCTAAGCTCACTTTTCTTCAATCGAGGCTTACTAGTTTCATTTCACTTGTTCCAGTTTTCCGTTTTTGCCCTCATGATAATAAAAAATAATATTTTTATTGAATATCTCCAAATCAAGTGGTACGTTTGACAAGTTTGCCATGAGAATTACTTAAAAAAAAAAGGATGTTTCTTTTTGTTGTTTTAAAAAAAATAAACTGTTTATTCTCTAAACCTTTCCAGTGTTTTTAATTTCTGAAAGACAAGAAGGCCATTGAGAAAATCATTAATTTTACAATTATTATAAGACCTTAGTAAATGTCAGGTCCTATTGCCTCAAAAATACGCCAATAAATTAACAAAAATCCTTTTTTTTACCTTAAGATTAAAAAATGAAAATTAAATATTGAGACTCTATTGCAACTCATTCCTGATATTATCATTGTTAGTTTTCCCAAATTATTCATTTCAGCTCGAGGGTACCATCGAACAGAAATGAGCTGATAAGATTATCTGCACGATTTGTGCGAAGTTGCAGGTAAAAAAAAATGTTTTCATGATTCAATCAAGTTTTTATCTATTTCCCTTCGCCCTTGGACGTTTTAAACTTAATGTTAGCAGTCCAAGTCAAGCATTGATTGAGATTTCTTTTTCTCTTTGTAAACAAGCTGGAGAGGAACTGTTTCATAGAAAAGTGACTCAGTACTGAAAACAGGAACTTTTTTTAAAAACAGAATCCTGTATCAGGAAGAACTCAACAATGCTAATTAACATCTAAGAGCTTAAGCGCAACCCAGTGAGTTGTTGGCATAGACACAATTTCGTATAAATTTTAGAAGACATCTGCCAATATACAGTGTTAATTTTTTTTTTTCCTTGACATTTTGTTGTTCATTTAAAAAAATAGCTGCCTGGTCAAAGACAAATGAATAAAGACAATACAAGAGGTGGAGACCTTTAAGATAAACAACGTTCTCAGTAATGACTCCAGTGAAATCTTCGCAATCGAGAAGTTTCCAATTCTATGTTGATAAAAGCAAAATTGCCACCTACCGAACCCGGTGCAAAGAACACTCCGTAGGCTTCGCTGTCAATTAAATTTGCACAGAAATGGAGTAAGCAATATTCTATTCAAAAGTTTTCGTCGGATTTTACGAGCCATTTCGTTTTAAAAACGTGTGTAATTTACTCTTTTGTTTAAGCTATGATGTCTTGTAAAATATAAATTATCATGTAACTGAGGATAAGGCATGAAATTAAGTTGAAATGATGAACGCTACATCCGGAAAAAATCCATTTAATGATTAGAGGAAATTTCTCGGTAACGCTATTAAAATATTCCAAAGTCCCCGCTGATGAGACCGTAAAAAGCTGCATAACGTTTAGATGTTTAACTCTAACAAAATAAGCAAACCTGCACGGAACGCTTAAAACGCTCTCATGACACCCTTTAATTGTGTGAGTGAACCAGGAACTTTATTCATAATTTCACACTCAAAAATACTGCAAAAAAGCCGGTTAGAATAAATAAAATCAAAAATTAAACTGTAGATACTTAATTTTGATATTTCCCTTGAAATAGTGATTCTGAACATTGCGATAAAACTGTTTCGGTTTTAGTTTCGATTTCACAGTTTATAAAATGTTCTGTTTCACATCGAACTGTGTTCTCCTGTTAAATCTACGACTGCAGCACGGAGAGAACTAATAGTCCTTATTCGTGTCTTCTCGGTAAACCAGCATTTGAAAACGCGATTGAATGCTCGTCTGTAATCGCGATTTCGTGCTGCATATATCCATGGATTTACCGCAGAGCTGCTGAAAGAGCATAGCGCTCCCCAGAACCAAAACCGAATTATGCGAATTTTAAGGCAGCCGTTTGTAGTTACGATTTGAATCCCACTAATAATCATGCTTGGAAAGGCCAAAAGAAGGTATATCCCAATTATCACTCCGATTGTGTTCGCCGCTTTTCGGTTGCGTTTCGTTTCAGAGGCCACGGAATTAGATGAACCTTCTTCAGTTACCACAGTTGATACGGCCCTAACCTCAGCCTCGATCCTTCTTGACTGACTTCGAGCTGTTTTGTAGATGTGATAGTAACTGTAACTGATGACCACAAATGGCAGAGTGTATCCAATGACAGCCACAGCTATCCACAACTTCGGCAGGTCCAACGGATCTGTTATCACCAAACGGAGACACGAAAACGCTATGGAAAACAACCATATCACGGCAATGGAAACCGCACAGCGAAATAATGTCACCACACGAACATAATACAATGGATTTATAATAGCCAAGTAGCGATCTAAACTGACCGCAGCGAGGTTAAAAGTTGCAGTTATTAATGTCTGTACTGACATCAGCTCCGCCGCTATCGTGAGAGGATGCTCGTTCTGCCAAACGTTTAAGACGCTTTTAGTCACCCAAAGTGGACTCAACAACGCGCCGACCAGAAAATCTCCAACCGCCAAAGATGCGATGTAATAATTCGACAGTGAGTGCAAAGATGGCGTTTGGTAAATTGCAAGAAGAACTACAGAATTTCCAGCAATGGAGAGGAAACCAGATATGGCATGAAGAACAGCTAGAAATATTGAAGAAATATAATGCAGCTCCCCTGAACATTCTTCAGACATAATACTGTGAGGAATTGCTTTTCGATGCGCCAAATTGAGTTGAAAAATTTTCGTCCAGTTCTTAAAAACCGGTTGAGTGTAGTTTCTTTAGGAAATTCAATGATGTGGATGATCCTCTTGTCAAGGAGTGTATACTGGCTGACTTCTTAGTTAATTCCGGCCAAAATGGCATTCATTACTTTTTATGTCATGTGTCACTGACTTTACGTGCAAATGGCTCCACAACGTGTTTTCATTGGTTGCCAAAAACAACTTGTTTTAACGATTGGCATTAATTGAAAACCTCAACAATAAACGCTTCGATGATCAATTTGCCTGCACGCTATCACTAAACACTGTGCCAAGCTAATGATGCCAAACCAGGGGACTGTGGCACGTTACGAGGCAAGTTTAAGCAGTGAAAGACTCATGAGCTCGATACAGATGGACTGGAATTAAGTTCCAAAAGGTTACTTGGCGTGAATCAATCACGTATTCAAAACGAAGCCATTTTAGTTCTGCTCTCTTTGTGCCAATCAAGATGATTGTCACTGTCAGAATCTTATTGCTGTACGTGATAGGGAACTGATTCATGCTGAAGTTCGCTTCAACATCAGCTCAACATGCAATTTTCATTATGATTCTCAAAAAAATTGAAACGCAAAAATAATTTTTTATTTAATAAAACTGTATTTGATCGTCTATCGATGACAGAGGATCCAAACGTATTGAGCTTTCACCTAAAACAACAACGTGCAGCAAATATAAAACCTTTATAGGTTAGCATTCCTTGGTTTATCTAATAAGACGTTCTGTTTTCATTTACCTCCTACGCAAGCAAAGCTATCCAAGCTAAAATTGTACATTTTATTGCGGTTAATAGGTTTTCTAAGCTTGAATAAACTTAACATCAAGGATATTTAGAAACTCTCTTTCCATCAGGTAATGGTGAAAGCTTTTCTTTTATGGGAAAAAAATCGTTTACTTTACTACACACGCAATTTATCTGGTGAAAATGATTCAAAAATACTGTAAACGAACATTGTTCCTGTGAGAGTTGTATCTTCATGAAGTTTCTGCAAGGTTAAAGCGTATTCTTCAAAAACCTTAGAACTTCCGCGCCGTATGAAAGGAAGGTACAGTTTTGAGGAAACTTTGAGAAACTTGCAACTGAAGCAACAAGATCAATTAAACGCATCTATTTTAATGAGTCGTCGTTAGAGTTTGATACGGTAAATCACTCGCCCTGTAGAAACCGTTTGTCATTGAGAAGCAAACAACTGTGCCAAACCACAGAGTAATTGTTTTTTTCGAACAACTGTGTTAGAAGACTGTCATTAACTTGGAATGGTACTGTGCGTGATAAAAACTACTTGTGCGGGGAAAAATGTCAGGGTTTAGATAAACAGTATGGAAACGAACTAATACGACCAGGCTTTTCCTTAGACACCCACAGACAATTCTCTTGTTTTGTTTTGTTTTCCTTTTCGCCCGAATAACCCTTTTTCACATAAAGAAAAGCGACGAGGAACGATATATTTATGGGATGGCTTTAACGGTCTTTTCAAGTCGGTTGACTTTAATCTCAGCTTCTCACAAAATGATATTGTATCAATATTGTGATGTAAATTCGAGCTCTCAAATATATATCATCAGTAACTGACTCGGTGCAAACCTATAAGAAACGTCATTCGCTTTTTTTGTCATGTTACTCCGAACGACTGGCGTTATATTCTATAGAAGCGCTCATGTTACAGTTTGCGTGTATGTGTAAAACCTAGTTAATGTCACTCAGGAAAACTTGTCGAAACCTTCCTGACCGTATCTAGCCCCGATAATTTTCTTGTGGATTGTCATTTGGAGTGGAAGCCATGCTTGGCCTGATTTGAGTAGTGGAGAGGGGAGAGTCACCCCCAACCCCCCTCCCTCACCACCATCACTTTTGACAACTCCTTTTCCAACCTTTTATCATTCAAAGTTAAACCACGCCGCTCTCGTTTACCCCTTTTTTTCTCATAAGCATAGATCAAAATAAGACCTATAGTACTCGGAATAACAATCGAAAAGTATGTTAAGTTTTTTAGATATGTATCCTTAAGTCTATGCCCTCTCAAAAACATTAATTCGACAATTTACACAGCGTCCAAAGTGATTAATTCCGAGTGTGACGTCATAGAACATAGCCCTTCGCCCTGACGAAGTGTTAACGCTCGAAAAGTCAGAATTTAAACTCTTCGCGGTGGCTAATTTACACTATCAGTTCAGTTGATAATGCGATGCATTTCAGAACCAGTCTTTCACATCACGCATCAGTCATTGACAAAAATGAAGAGGTTAGATAACTTGCAACGGAAAAGAAATGGAAAAAAATCTCTCAAATTATTTAAGGTTATTTAAGCAAGATCCGAAAAAGTTATATTTAATATGCTAATAAGCTATCTTCAGATTCAGATTGGTGTTTGGTGAAATTGGAATGAAATTCGATTTAAGTCATTTACATATCGTCTTCGCTAAATTGCATATAAAAACAATCTCGTATTGAATTCGGTTTCGTTTTTTTTATTCCAATCATCTAAGTGCACACATGCTATGGCCATCAGCTTCATCTCCAGACATGATATCCTTTTGTGTTTGGTTATTTCCAAAACTTCATAGCTCTTTTTTGAAATCTTAGATGCCAAAAAGAAGGAAAAGAAGTTTGATGATAGTGAACCCCTCATGTCCGATTTTCATGTTGACATGATTTTAATCTTGAAATAAAGTGTCTTTTAATTGGGTATGAAGTACATTGTTAAGGTAGGAATTTCAATGAAATGAAGTGCAGAATCGTGAGGATTATTGGTCAGATTTCAAAACACCCTCCCTACGTCAGTTTTATTCCGGATTTTGCGGTCTTTTACTGTTCTCACGCGGCACTATAATTGCAGATAGTGCCAGCTCTAATTACTTAAGACTCGGAATCGCTGCATTAGAACCTTAGATTAAAGATAGCTATCTAAAACTACTCAAAATTGACCCCGTGTCTTTGGGATGATGGTTTAAAATATCACATCAATTTAGTAGACGCCGATGGAACCTCAATTAATGAACATTATAATTCATTGAAAGGTGATAGAGTTAACGTAATCCATACTATATTTCCCATATTTTTTTGAAATGACAAGTTTGTCAAAGCAGGGATTACATCATTCTCTCTTGCGGATCTTAGTAAAATTGCTTAAGCCAAATTTAACAGATTGTCATTTTTCTCAGCCCAAAAATTGATAAAGGAACTGAACCCAAATTTTTTTCGCTCTGGTTAGTTTTGAAAATGCCTCGCGCACGCGCTCACTTGAATGATAAAAATTTAGGAGAAAAAAGTTATTGAAGAACTGTAATAAAACACTGAAGAAGACTGCCTTCAAGCATGTTAATAAAGTGCCTTTCAAATGGAAAATTTAAAAAAATTTTCTTTTATTGATCCATTAACCAACTCGGCGATCTTCTTGAATCAATATCGACATTGATTACAATATACAGTTGTTTCACCAAATACTATAGACACCTGCGCGAACTTGTTTATATATGTATGCGTAAGCTTAGGAATCAAAAAAGTTTTTTCAAACCTTGTGCACTTTTAATTGGCACATTGTGTTCAAAGGAAATTCGTTGTAACGGCTTTCTTTTTTTTTATGGTTTTCGCGTTCAGTTCTCGGAATATGAAGATTTCCAGCACATTTCGCTGTCAGTCTTGATACAGATCAGTTACATACAAATATCTCGCACCATGGTGGATCAAACACAGTGTACAGGAGAAATCTCTGCTGCCTCAGCTGTGATTCTCGGAATTTTGAATGCAGTATCCGCATTAGCAGCCATCAGTGGAAATCTAATGGTTCTTGCGATTCTCTTCAAGAACAGCTCCCTTCGCCAACCGTGTTATTACCTTATAACTTCCTTATCTGCCATCGATCTGTTCGTGGGCATGGCAGTGAATCCGTTGTACATCTTGTTAACCAACGTTGTACCTTGGCAGTACAGAGAGAAACATCTCTTGCAGCTCGAAAGCTTTTTAGCCATGTCCAGCTCGATGATCATCATGCACACTTTGTGTATAATGAGCGTAGAGCGCTATATCGCTGTCATATTTCCGTTGCGTTATATGAGCATTGTAACCGTGAAGCGCACTGTAATCGCTGCTGTGATGACTTGGGTGTTCGGCTTCATGCTCAATGCCTTTTCTTTTGCACTGGATACTCAAGACCTGCCAAAACTGTGGATTATTTGCGGAGTGTTAACAGGACTTGTTCCCATGGCAATCATCCTTTACACCTATGGAAAGATTTTAATCGCTGCGCGCGACCAGTCGAGAAGAATTGCATTCGCAGAGAACAGTGTCTCCGTGATTTCGCGAGACACCGAAGGCGCCGTGGATGGCGTTGAAATAACCCGCCCTCGAATTGAGCTCAAAAAAGCCAAAAAAAACGCCTGGACCGTGGGGATAGTTGTTCTGGTGGCACTCTCTCTTTCTATGCCAGTGAGCGTGGTCAGTTTGCTGCAGATTGCCACCAGCGACGTGTGCCGTCGCAGACATTACAACCGAGCATGGATGTGGGCTGCTACGCTGTCACTTACTAGTTCGGCAATGGATCCATGGATCTACGCAATGAGAATTCGCGAGTTCAAAGCCACCTTCAAACGCACGCTGTGTATAAAATGACTTTAATGAAGAAAAAAGCAAACACATCTACTACTGAGGAACTAAACTGTTTTGTACAAATCCTTATTCAAATTTGAAATGTGTCAGAATCAAGCTGGTTGTGAAGGGACGACCAATCAAGAATCCAGAGGTGATAAAACCAATATACTTCTGTCGGGACGTTAGTAAAATTCGAAGTGCTTTTTTTTGGTTCAAACGAAGAAGTGGTTAGGATGACTATCTTTTATCACCTAAATTGAAAGTCCCGCTGTCCCAACTGAAAAACGGCTGTACCTTAGATATCTGAGTCGGAAACAAAACACGTATCTGATGCGGCCATAATTTTTACTCAACAGTTTTCTTCCTCACAACGCATGCTACTAATTTGTCACTGATTATGATCTAGCTGATCAAAAATTTTAATCTACGATTTCAATTCTTTAAACATCTAAACCTGATTTTCATCTAAAAATATTTGAAAATACAAATTAAGTTACAGTGGTTGTTTTGAAGCGTTTCTGAAATTATAAACATACATGATTTTCATCTTTTCGAAATTTTTTTCGTGCGATTTTTTAATAAAAATTTGTAAAAGAGAGCAAAAGGTTCGCTTATATGTCAGGTTTGTTCTGCTCTTGAAATATCAAGTTTAACACCGAACGCTCTCTTTATTGTCACAATATCATCTCGCCTGGTGATGAAGTCTCAATTGTCAGCTAAAAGCCCTCTCTGGGAGGCTGAATTTGAAGACGATATGCATTAGTATCAGATATCCGGCTGAAATTAACCAAATTTCTTTTCATTTTTTATCTTTTAATCGAGTGCAATTTTCGATGAACGGAGCGGATATTTTTTTAAGGCCAAAGCGAAGGTCAATAAGCGTTGATTTAAATTGACAATTAACACGAAAAGCTACAAAAGTTTGGGAAGGAAATTATGTTTGATCGGTTGACTGTAGTTCGGATGTAATAAATGAGAAGGATACGAATTGTGTATGGTGGTTAATGAGTGAACCACCTAGAATGATAAAGTGAGCAATTTAGTCCCGATAGAAAGGCATGTGGACATAAAATAGAATATTATAAAACGTGACTGTAATTTCAGATCGATGACAATTTCAGTCGCCTCTTTCGAAGCTAGTGACCATTAGCGAAATTAAGCTCGATTTTTCCAGCCATCAATAAACGGAAAAATTGACGTACTCTAAAATTTCTTTGATATTGCATAATTTACCGATAACGCTTTTATCAAGCCTATGGAAAAATTACAGATAATCTTGTTTATTTCAAATGTAAATACTTAGCTTAAGCTGCAAAGTAAAAAATTGCCGAAAGCCGTCTAACGAGAAGATCAGTTTTTTACCGCCTTTGTAAATTTTATCCTTAACCAATGGGTTTTTCTCAAGAAAACCTACCTTCTGGCAAAATTTTTGATATCGGGGTCAAGTAATTATAAGATGAATTTAGAACGAAAAATACTATGTAAACAGCTGAATGAATATAACCGACATTTGCGTAGTGTAAATGAATTGTACACATTGATATACAACCGTGGCTCATGTCAGTTCTCTCGGATTCGAACGTGACCGAAATGTACTAGATTGTCAAAGTTTACGAACCCTGACCAAACAGAAATGACTTGTTTTACAGATAACTGAAATGTAAATTGCACGTTTAACTTGACATGAATTTAATTTACTGAAATAAAAGTAAATAAAATTTCATACTAATTACTGATTTTGCATGGCGTAAGAATATCTATCATGATTGGTTCTGCGTTGGCGTAAATCAAATGCCCGCGAAAACAGACAAAACAGCACTTTAGTTCAATGTGATGCATTTTATCAAATCCGCAAAAAAACATTGCATTCCGCAAAATTCAACTTCAATACCCGAAATTATCTAAATCTATCCACCATCCTTGGAAAGAGATATTCACGTTTTCCTCTTATATTTTTACGTATAATTCGATTCTTTGTTCAAGTTCTTTATCAAACCCTAGTTTTCTCTTACCCCTGATTCTCGAAGACCGTGAAAAAATGTTACCCCTTTGAAATGAACTTTCCTAGGAGGCAGGAAAATTCAAGATTAAAAAATTTGAAATGGGTAGAAAGTTTAGATGGTATTAGCCTTCATATTCCAGGCTCCCAAAGTCCCAAATTTGCGTGTAATTTTCCAAATGAGCTCTGCAATACCGGGAGAGACTGGAGGCAAGTCAAGTGCCCCTTATGGCACGGCGGCCGCCCCTTATTCTTCCTCTTCTCTACAAGCAAAGGTAATATGGCGGATATGAATTTTTCTGTTACAACCACGTGTATTTATATTTCAAGGCTATTGCAAAGCTTAAGATGGCCATCTAACCTGTAAGTTATGCGCTAAACAAAAGCTGTATGTCTTCTTTCCGTTAGATGCCCGGTGGTGCGACAGTGAAAGACGTTTGTCCTCACGAATTCATCAAGGCTTTGTCGGCCCATTTGAAGAAGTGAGTTCTGATCAATTTGCGTTTTTGACGCCTTTGTGGGTAGCAAAACAATCTGAGTGTCCCTCTCTTTAAGCACAACTCTTTTAAGATGATATCATTAATTTCTCCTATCCTGAATTTATTGTCTTCATGTCAAAAAGAAAAACTTGGAAATGAAGTTTTCAGTGATAGCATAGTTACACGGAGTTTGGAGTGGAGGTACGCTCAAGTTTAGATCAAAGATTCCAAATTGATGCTCCGAAGCAACTCTTCACTTCATGGCAAAATCTAACTCGTTGTTTTGAAACTTTCACACTTCTAACTAACAGTTCAGGTTTTGAAAGAAGTGGTAACATTTTATCGGAATTATATTTTCGCTCATGCATGCATGGGCGAAAATATAATTCCGATAAAATGTTACCACACCGAACAGTGTATCACCATAGATAATTTGACACATGTGTCAAATTATCTCTGGTGATACACTGCTCAGTGTAAAGATTATGTGATTTTGTTAGTGATTTGGCCAAATCTACAACTCTATATCTTTGCTTGATTTTTAAATTTTTTCTTTTTATTTTTTTATTACTTTGCCTTGTGAGTTTTATTGGATGTATAATGTGTAGGCAGTTGATATTTTGTTTATGGAAGGGATTCTTGCAGTAATGAACACTACTTAAGTAGTAGAGAAAATAAGGCCTGAAGAAAATTTCAAGCCTACATGGGATTTGAACCCATGACCTCTGCAGCAATGGTGTAGTGCTCCACCAACTGAGTTAACAAGTCAGCTGGGAGCTGGTCATTCATTCATTCATTCTTTTATTTGCACTTGTTCTACTAAAAATACAACAACGAGAAAGAGAAAAAGTAGAAAAAAAAAAAAGAAGAGAGTTCTAACTTATACATGAATTTACACAAAGCAGTGGAAAGAGTGTGTAGTAGCCAAAGGAGCCAAGCTTTCGAGTTGGCCACTACCACAGAGCAATTACAGATGGTTGAAAGTTAAATACACTTAAGGAGATAGCACATATACTAATTTAAAATAGTTAAAATAGTAAAATAGAGCTCTATGATAGGTTAAAGTTGTTCAAGATGTCTGCCTGCCAAGTAGGAAGAGTTTATATTCTTTTTTAAAGCTTTTGGCAGGGAGACACTTTATTTTAATAGGTATCGTTTACCAGATCTGTGATGCCACCACACTAAATCTTGCTAGACCATAATTGGTTCTAGAGAATGGTCTGTACAAGTTTTGATCAGTGGCATACCTAGTAGAGTAATTATGGACAGCTGAAGCTGGTTGGGCTAGATCATAGGTGACTGGAGGTATATTCTTTTTTTTGATATTGAATTTTATGCACAAGAGAGCCAATTTTTAATTTAAAAATATTCTCTAATCTTAAGATTTCTAATAGTGTGAAGTATGGTGTAGAACTTTCTCTTTTGCTAGCAAAGAAGATGCTGCGGATACTGTTGTTTTGACTTATTTTGATTTTATTTAACCTGGTTTGGTATACAGTTCTCCAGCACATTAATCTATATGTTAGATATGGATATAGGAGAGTATAGTACAGTTGTTTGAGTGTGCTCACAGGTAAATAATGTCTAAGCTTAGATAGAATTCTGATGTTTTTTGTTATTTTATTGTTTATGTGCTGGAGCTGAGCATCCCATTTTAAATGTTCATCTATAAAAAACCCCAAATATTTTATCTGAGATTTTGGTTCTATATTGCAAGCTGTTATTCTGATATTTGTTCTCTTTTTAGTGAAGTAATAATCATATAATTAGTCTTCTTGAAATTAACTGACAGCATATTTGCTGCACAGTATTTTAAGACCTTTCTAAGTTCTTCATCAATAACTGATTGGAGCTGCACAGGATCTTTTGAAGAATAAAACATATTTGTTTCATCTGCAAAAATCCAAAAAGTTAATTTCTCTGAAGACCTAGGCAAATCGTTAATATACAACAGAAACAACAACGGACCTAGTGTGGAGCCTTGAGGTACACCGCATGTAATAGTTTTCAGGCTAGATTCTGTATTACCAACTTTGACATATTGCTTACGATTAGTTATATAGCTTGAAAACCATGCATGGGGGACTCCTCGGATCCCATATTTGTGTAATTTTCCTAAGAGAATATGATGGTTAATTGTGTCAAAGGCCTTAGAAAAGTCTAAGAATATACCACATGTAATTTGTTGACTGTCAATTGCTGACTTCAAGTTCTCTACAATTTTGAGAATTGCATATTCCGTGGAATATCCCTTTCGAAAGCCAAATTGGTAATTAAAAAGTAGACATTCTTTTTCTAAATAGGACACAAGCTGGTCATATACTAGTCTTTCCAGAACTTTACTGAAGGGAGAAATAACTGCTATTGGTCTATAATTACCTAACTCAGATACACTACCGCTTTTAAATATTGGGGTTACTTTTGATATCTTAAAGGCTAAAGGAAACTTTCCTGATGATATTGACTCATTGTAGATCTCAGTGAAGGGTGCAGAGAGCTGTTCAGCTGCAAGTTTGATAAGCTTATTAGGAACAGCGAGTGATGCCTTATTTTCTTTTAGCCCAGCAAACAATGTAAAGACTTGTGCTAGGGTTACTGGAGCAAGGTAGAAGCTGTTTGATGGTGTAGATTCTATGTATTGCAAAGGGTCTGTATGATCAGGTTTAATTTTCTGTGCTAAAGTTGGCCCAATGTTGACAAAGAAATAATTGAATAATTCAGCAATGACCTTTTCTTGTGAATAAGTCCTGTTATTATGAGTAATTTTTGTAGGGAAAGTTTGACCTCTAGTTTTCCTTTTAACAAGAGTACCGATAAGTTTCCAAGTTTGTTTAAGATTATCATTGTACTTTGAGAATTGCATGCTATAATAGTCTGTCTTACTTTTATTCTTAAGATGTGAAAGAATAGCTGCATAATGTTTATATTCCCTTTTTTTTTTTGGGAGTCATTGCTTAAGTAATGTGTACAGTACATTTTCTGTTTCCTTTTTACTGATTTTAAAATAGCCTTAGTGAGCCATGGCTTATTAAGTTGCTTTTGTTTGCTTTGGCTAGCCAGCCTGATAGGTGCATGTTTGTCAACAATTTCATTCAGGATATTAATTGTCTCCCTTTC